TTTGATCAGGTCAAGGACACCGTCTGTAGACACCTGGACATCTCTCCTGGAGTAAATCTCACCTGACCTCCACAAGCCTGGCAACTTGTTGTAGTCGTAGACAGACTGTGGTGAAGAAAACAATGGTGAAATGGTATATGTTTAACGCTCCTATCAACACTATTAGGTTATTTAAGAGGCGGGACCTCCGAGTTTAACGTCCTTCTCCGAAAGGACTGAGCCAAGTGGGAAATTCGTGTTTAGTGCCTTTTCCAAGGACACAAACTCCGACGGAGCTGATGCTGGAACCCCCAAACCTGCAATCTCACGATTACGAGTCCGTTAGCCTAACCACTTGGCCACTAACATCCTCTCAGACAGTTGAGAAACACACATGTTTGAGGGAGATCTCACCAAATAAAACAAAATCAGTCAATCAAATTTTGTTACTTGAAAGATGGGGAGTGTGGAGGAGGGAGGGGGGGGGTAATTACAAGTAGTCCTTTTTATCACTGGCGAATTAAAATGTTGCAATAAACTAATGGTCAGTTATAGGGTGGTTAAAAAAAACAACTTGCAATTACTGTTTAGTAAAAACGTACATTTACTTTTCAGTAAAACTTATAATTACTGATCATTAAAACAAAATTAAATAGTTTATGGAGTGGCAAAAAGTCATAGTATCTACCTCAACCACTACATCATGCAGGCTCTAGGAGAAATGCATTAATTAAGGCCTCATGCCACTGACAAAAACTGAAATGTTCTCAAAAGAATAAAGTAGACATGTATTTATGTCAGTTTCTCTATCGGCTTCACTACAGGTTCCTATCTAAGATTGCTCAGTCGATGACGTGGACTCACATGAAGGGGATAAACCGCACTGCTCAAGACGAGGGTGAGTGTGGTGGAGATAACAAGCAGGCTTTTCATTCTGTCTGTGTGTGTGGCCGTTTCTTGTAGGTAACGCAAAGGGTCTTCTGTCTTGCCTCTCTCTGTGGTCTCCTTGTAAACTTAAAGGATCTTTTGTTTTTTCTGTCTCTGTGTGGTCGTGCTTGTTGCAAACTCAAAGGGTCTTCTGTCTTGTCTGTCTCTGCGATTTTGTCTGTGGCTAACTCAACAGATCTTCTGTCTTGCCTGTCACTGTGTTCGTGCCTGAAGCTATCTCAAAGGATCTTCTGTCTTGTCTGTGGATTGGAATCTCGTGATGTGTCCGCTGCCTGCAATATCCCAATATTTATACCCTATCAGCCAGGGAAATAATGCGTAATTCATACAGGATACGATCTCTTTTCTACGATCATTGTTATTTCAGATTTTCACAAAGAAGAACTAGATTCTACTCGTAAATACGTTTCCGATATCTGTCAGTCTTATCAATGCACCACGGGACCCTGGTGCTGATGCATGTAGGTCAGTTGTCCATCTGGCGAGTCTCTCACGCTCCCTGTGACAGTTCCGATACATCGGCACTCGGACAGGATCCGTGACTACTGGACGGAGTGACGTCATCTCTTCTGTCCGTGTCTGGAAACCTGAACAAAGAAAATACATGTAGATCTATGCATGCAGACATTTGAGTCGGTTCTGTCTTTGTTGTCAGTCAAGAAAACGGTCTCCAGTTGGAGTCTTTCCTACTCTATGACATTTTTAAAGGCCGATCTATCTATCTATCTATCTATCTATCTATCTATCTATCTATCTATCTATCTATCTCATACTCACAAACACACAAACAGGCACATAAACACACACACTCATAGACACACAGACATACTCACATACACATTCACATAAACGCCCCAAAACGCACAAAATCGCCCACATTGACACAAAATGTTTATAGGTGCAGTCACTTTCACTCAGTCTCATCTATAGCGAAAAAAGCCGTGTTATTCTGGTTAAAATTTGGCGAAATTGAATAGTTTTTTTCTGCCGCTTACAACGCTGTAACGTTTTTTTTTAAAGAGGCAGGATCTTTGAATGTAACGTACATATCAGAAAGGTCTGAGCCAAGTACAAACAGATCGTGTGTCGAGGGTACCTTTTCCCGAGACACGCCGTCGGACTGTGCGGAGCCTCGAACCCCACCCCCGAGCCCACAACCACACGTTCATGAGTCCGGTGTCCTTACTACTAGACTGTCATCGCTATTGTCCTTTTTTACATGTAAAGAAACTATAAAAAAAAAACTATAGTTGACAAGTTTCAATAAAATAACATACATAAAGGAACTATTCTTTTTATTGACTATTGTAGATAAGTTTCCATTAAATAGTTTGATTTTAAAAAATAAATGTTAAAGTATTTGTTCGAGTTTGGAGGAAAACGTGTTAGTCAATTAGAAAAGAATATGCCTTGCGTTTGTTGTTCTGTCACTTCATCTGGGAGCACTTTGGATTGGACAGAAAAAGGTTCGAATTCCTAAAGGGCATGTTCCTTTTTGAGCTGCTTTGATTTTCATACAGTTGTTTTCGTTTCCACCCTGAATCATTTCCTGGGGACATCCCTACAAACAGGGGTGGATTCATTTAGCCTTTAGAAAAATCGGAACTGTATTCCAAGAGTTAGGATAACGACAGAATTTTGTTTTGGATTTGACAAAAAAGTTATAACTTATAGAGTACTTTATTGTTGTCCTTATTTTTGAAGAAATTGCGTTGTTGTTTTTTTGTTTGTTTTGTTTGTTGTTTTGTTGTTTTTCTTGTTTTTAGTTGTTGTTGGGGTTTTTGTTTCTGTTTTATTTTTGTCTTTTTCATTCTTTCTTCAGGGAGGGGGGGGGGGGGTGTTTACAGGGCACACAGTTAGCGAAACAGGATGTCTAGACTTTAATCATAATAATGATACTATTAATTACGCAGTGAGCGACATAAACACCGTGGTTCTGAATCCTGTTTGAGTGCACATCAGTGGTACTAAATAAAAGATTAGATAGATCTTACTAAGAAATCTGCATGATCTCTGCCGGAGACTCGTCTCAGAGCCAAAAAGATCCAAGTACAAGATAAGCACACAACAGATGGCCGACTTTCGCTTTGAGCCAAGAGGACGATGTCTCTTGATAAGACTTTCTTGAGTGAATAATCCGGATCCTTTGTTGTTTGTCAACACCACTGTCCCAGAGATAACGAAAGAACTGCCCGGTATCTGCTGGAGAGATTTCTGTCAGACGCAGATAGTTCCTCCAACTGATCTAGTATAAATATCAGAAATTTGCCAGCGATGATCAAAGCAAGAGACAAACCAAGAGAACAGACTCAACACTCCGTTATCTCACCGCAGAACTAACTATCTACACAATGATGAACGTCTTTGCCATTTTCTCAACTCTCATGTCCGTGGCTTTGGGCTTCCACACTGGGGTAATGTTTTATTTTATACTTTTGAAGTCCTCTTGTCAGACAATTGTCGTCTGCATGTGAATCGAATCATTGCTTTGTTTAACACAAATTTTGTTTGTTGCTATCTGCTTTTTTTTTCTATACATCTACATCTGCCTTATACCTCATTTTACTTTAAGTAATCCATCATTTAAACATTGCCGTGTTGTTGACGATTTTTACGTCTGTCTGAGACACAGCGATATTTATTGTTGTTTTGTCTTTAAAAAAAAAGTAAACTAAATTTGTTTGTTTCTTTGAAAACCTTTTCCCTGATATTGTCCACAATCTTTACAATTATTTTGTTCACACATCTTTAACATTCCTTCACTTGCTCATGTTTGTTTTTCCCATCAAGTACCCTGCTTCTGCTTTTCTCTCCCGTGAGTTGTCGACTGTCGGTAGTCTCTTCACTGTCATGGCTACGTCATGTGACTTGTCGTTTCTTTCGTCTGTCTTTAAATTCAACCCTGACACTAAGGTCAAATTTGTATAATTTCTATTAATGCTTTTTTCTGTAAGTATAACATGCCTTTGATTATTTCATACTTATATAGTATAAAAAGATCTCCTATAGGCGTGATGTATCTATTGCCATAGGACCCGAATCCGAGAAGTAACTCATTTTGTCAGCACGCTTCACCTTTGTTGTTACACTGCAGCCTTTTACACAGGCAAGCTGGGTGTTTGGCGGGTGCTCTGGTGTGGTTTGCTCCTTCTTTCCTATCAAACATCAATCGCCCTTACATCCCATTTTTCTTTCTTATATTTGTTACTCTCTAGTAACACCTCTAATCTTCTGGCGCTCATATGACCTTATGCAGTTGCGGCGCAGTAAAACTTCTACTAAAACTAAAAAAACACAGGCAATGTAAGCCGTACGGTTCTACTGTCAGTCTTTTACTTGCTTTACTAAAGTATAAAGTAAAACTATTTCTGTTTGGTGACCCTCTAAATCTTGCTATTGTTGTGCATGTATCAGATTTTCCTGTAGCTTTGAATGATCCCCCCCCCCCCCCCCAGGGTCACTCTGGAAGTCACGGGGGTTTCAGTGACGCCATCAAGCGACCTGTGGTCTCCCGGAGAGACGTGGCCGCCGTGACCCAAGATGACCTGTATGACGTCATCAAGCAGGTTGTGGCACAGGCTCACACAGGTGAAGACTTGGTGGTTAAAGACAGGGGTTCGAGTCTTGGTGGTTAAAGATAGGGGTTCTAGTCTTGGTCGTTAAAGAGATGGGTTATCGTTATGGTGGTTAAAGAGATGTGTTCAAGTCTTGGTTCAAGTCTTGGTGGTTAAAGAGATGTGTTCAAGTCTTGGTGGTTAAAGACAAGGGTTCCATTCTTGGTAGTTAAAGACAGGGGTTCCATTTTTGGTAGTTAAAGACAGGGGTTCCTGTCTTGGTCGTTAAAGAGATGTGTTCTAGTCTTGTTTGTTAAAGACAGGGGTTATCATGTTGCCTTGACCTCATGGCCCATTCACCGAGGGGTCTCAACAATTCCATGTTCTGGCAACATATATGTATATATATATATATATATATATATATATATATATATATATATATATATATATATATATATATTATATAATATATCCAGCGCATAAAACACAATACACCCGCCGTCCACTCCACAGGTACAACATCCGAGGACCTGACACAGGCTGCAGTCAAGGTCATAGCCCAGGTGGACAACCTGTTAGCCGCGGACAACTCTCCAGGTGAGGCTTTGTAATGATAACAACAACAACAACTGAAATAATATAATGAAAATAATAAAGAAAAAACAATTATCACAAATATTGTTATTATTATTATTATTATTATTATTATTATTATTATTATTATTATTATTAGTAGTAGTAGTAGTATTATTATTATCATTATTTGTAATCATTATTATTATTATTATTATCATTATTATTTCTATTATCGTTATTATTATTATTATAATAATAATTATTATTTTTATTATTATTATAATAGTAATAATGATGTTATTATTCTCAATATTAATTATTGATTATCATCATTTATTATATCAATAAATTACATTTTAATGGCTCTAAATAATATAATATTTTCTACTAAAGTAACACATTTCTTTTAGCATACAAATCAATGTGCATACGCCCATGAGTCACTGCTCTATTCTGTTTTCCGTGCTTTTATTAACATTCACAACCATTCTCTCATTCTCTATATCTACAGTACTGATATATATATATATCTGTCTCCCTGTCTCGCTCTTTGAGTTTCCTCTGCCTCTCTTTCTCCCCCCCCCTTCTCTTTCTCCTTCTCTCTCTCTCTCTCTCTCTCTCTCTCTCTCTCTCTCTCTCTCTCTCTCTCTCTCTCTCTCTCTCTCTCTCTCTCTCTCTCTCTCTCACTGTCATTCTGTTTCTCTCTATTTCTCTCAACATCATTAAAAAAGCAAACAAAAACAAATAAAAACATCAACAACAACACTAAACCACAAACAAACCATCTCTATAAAGATATGTACACAAGGACCACAAAGTAACCCCCCCCCTTTCCCCTAACCTTCCGCACCAGTTGACCCCAGTGACGTACGTAAGCTCATAGAGGTCAGCTCTGCTCAATTTGGTGCCAAAACTGCAGTCTCGGCGATTTTTGACGGTATGTACATATTTTGTTTGTTAGAGATTTTAACTTCTTGTTTGTGAAAGATGATGCTCACACATGTTTATTATAGATTTTTTAAAAACTTCTTTTTCATGTTCTAGTTGGTGCTTACACATTGTTTAATTATAGACTTTTAATTTATTTTTTACGTTATAGTCTTGTTCAGGAGGAGAAGATGATTGGCTTCAAATACAAATGAAACCTAAGGTGTGTTAACAAAAGTATAACGTCCATTTGTCTTAGTGCACCACTTAACAGACTAAACGGATAAAGTACTGTGTTTTTTGGACAGGAGGACGTATGCGATTTCTTTTTAAAAGTGTATTTATATCCGTATTAACCTTACATTTGTTATGTGACTATGAAAAAACAACAATGAGTGGGTGGTTGGCGGGTGCTCTGGTGTGGTTTGCTCCTTCTTTCCTATCAAACATCTATCGTCCTTATCTCCCCTTGTTCTTTTTTATGTTTGTTACTCTCTTGTAACACCTCTAATCTTCTGGCGCTCATATGACCTTAATATTATGCAGTTGCGAGCGCTGTAAAACCTCTACTAAAACTAAAACTAAAAAACAATGTACTTTGTCAGAAGTAGAATTACGTTGCCGCAGTTACGTTCTCCCCGGAAGTGTTTCCATAGTGACCTACTAATGACGTCACTGTTCGCCGTCTCCACAGACGCCATGACGGTGCAGGGAGAAAAGATGGCGGCGGCGCTGAGGCTGTGGGACAGTCTGGTGGACACGGCCAGGGAACAACAAGGTCTGTACTTCTCGTCTGTTCCCACATTTGTCACATTTCTTGACAAAACTAATACAGGGCAATTTTTATATCTCACTGTTTTGTCTTTTCTTTCCTCTCCTTTTCTTTGATTATTTTTTCGAAAATACTGTGGCTGTTGTTGCTTTCTTTTGTTATCGTCTTTTCGTTTCTGTATGCATTCTTTTCCCCTTCGTTTTCCTGCTTGTCGTAATATTACGATACCCATCCGAAGTAACAATAAAAAGACCTTAGAAAGCTTTCTAAGCTACATTTTTTGAGGATTCGAACACAGGACTTCAATACAATATTTGTCTTTCACATTGTCCTCTTACAAGCTTTTGGTTACATCTGGGATCGACAAAATCGATAAGAGTAGGCTTCGGCCGCCACACGGGCAAAATTCAAAAATTTCCTATCAACTGAAAATGCTAGGTGTGTCCCACGCGCTCATTTGACCTTATGCAGTTGCGAACGCCATAAAGCACTTTTAAAAAAACAACAGAAAAAAAGGATCGACACAAATTACCCCCCAGCGACCAATAGACGTACAGGGCATGTGTGGTGGGTCATTTCTACCACTTCTCAGAAGTAGGTCAGCTCAGTATACGAGGATGAGCCACTCACCGCCTCAACAACAGACAGTATGTGAGTTTCTACGTCCCTCTCAACACTTACTTCTTTTACGCCAACTAGGTCGTCATACAATAAGACTTTTATAGTAGGTAATGACTTTTGATGAATAGTAAGTCTCACTAAAAATCAAATAAAAGATGATTTTTAAGCTCCTGAGTCAAATTGTGCCCCCAAACTAAACCACCTCTCGTTACGTCATCTCCCCGTGCCCAGCGGCCGGACAATCCACCCGAGTGACACTGACGGCCATCAAGGACACAGCCCGGGCCATGCAGGCCATCGTCACTGACACAGGTAGGACATACCAACGTTAGATGACAAGATAACTTCACTGAATCTTTTACTAAAATATTGCTAACTTCTAGAGAGAAAATTGAACAACAAATACTTCGCTATCATTGCCACTGACACAGGTAGGAAATAGGGACATGGGATGACCTTTCTTAATTAATCTTTTACTCCAACGATGATAACTGTAAAGAGAAAATGAGTAACACATCCTTCGCTACCATCGTTACTGACACAGGTAGGAAATAGGGATCGTCATCATCAGTGCAAACATGCAAACATTTTTTTATTACATAAGGTGAGGGGTGCATTATTAAATTGTATTTTGATCATTCAACATCTGACGCTAAAACAGCACCTGGACATGGATGACTGGTACCTCTATAAATAAATCATTGATGGTCATCTGACGCTCAGAGCTGTATTTCTCCCTGTTATTATCAACTCATTGTTTCTCTTCTTCTCAGTGTCCTATGTGACGGACATCCTGAGACTGGCTGGGACAAACCAAGGTAAGGAACCGGGCTGTAGGCTTGACTTATGGGTCTTTCTATACTTGACTGGTGTCTTTATACACTTTGACTTGTGTCTTTCAAGACTTGACCTGTGTCCGTTTAGCGTGGCTTAGTATCAGCACCTTTCTCCTTTGAATTCATTGCAGTTATTTTGCTTGTCTTTACACCGTACCTTAAGAAAGGGAATATGAATAGAAGCACATCGACACAATATTAGTCATTTAGTGCTGGGGAAAAGTTTGACAGATTGAATAGACAGAAACAAGAGGGACAAAGAAAAGAAGTAGGACCTGCCACTGACACCCTCCAACAACCCTTACATTAAAGTGCAGGAAATGACACCAAAAAACCCCCCACCAACAGTTCACATAAAATACCTGTTCAACTTTTTAATCAAAACTTATAAGAAATATTTATTATGGAAGTACCTTCGTCTTGGTCAATTCCACAGCACCATATTTGGGGAGACATAAAAAAAGAACACATTAACAGTGTGCGTTTTTTCTTACCGTAAAAGATCGTCAAATTTTGTCTTTGTTCCATCACTTACCATGATATCTTTTCTCTGTCTCACCACTTACCATGATACCTTTTCTTTGTCTCACCACTTACCATGATACCTTTCCTTTGTCTCATCACTTACCATGATACCTTTCCTTTGTCTCATCACTTACCATGATATCTTTTCTTTGTGCATCTCCAGGAACCAGCAACAACAAGCGGGTAAGTGTTTTAGCAGACTCACAAGCCTTTAGAACCTGACTCCTGTAGTTTTCCTGTAAGAAATGATTTTTAGCAAGCAAACTGAGATTATGTAAATCACTCTTTTCAACGTTTAATTGTTTTAGAATCGACAAGACTTAGTAGGAAATGGATTGCCCGACACCCCCAGCGTAATTCAACCTGCGAGCTAACGATGTAAACCTCTAGATCTATATTATGCTGTATTCACATTCACGAAAATAATCACCCGGTTAATTGTTACCGCTCCCTCTCTGTGCTGTTTGTTTTTGTTTTTGTTTGGTTCATTTTGTCTTGTTTTTGTCCCCAAACTAGCTCAAGCTCCGATGTGTCATGTGGTGGTGTGCAAGAGCAAACATTGACATATTTATTTGTTTTGTTTTGATTTTTATTTCAGGCACTCTCCAAGAGAGGTAAGTACAATTAATGTACAAAGCTTAGTTCGGAAACTTGAGGTTCACTTCCCGGGGTGGTTGGGGGGGGGGAGCAGCAGAACAAGGGGAGTAAATGAGTTACTTCTCGCAATCCTTGAAAGGAGATATAGGCCAAAAATAGACACATCAAATTTGTAATTAATATTTGACTTATTTATTTTCACTGACTTTAATGCCTTCAATCATTTCATATGCTGAATTATATCAACTCAATCTATAACTTTGATATATCTATCAGTGTCCAAGGATCAGAATTCGAGAAGTAACTCATTTTGTCTGCATCATTCACAAATACAAAAAAGAAGGAGAGATCATGATGATAGATGTTTGATAGGAGAGAAGGAGCAAACCACACCAGAGCACCCGCCAATCACCCACTCAGCCTAATCCAAAGATAAATGTGTCTCGACGCGGTGGAATAAGGCTCTCGTCAATTGTTGGGCATATAGAGTTATTGGTATTGTTTTAAAGTTTGCTTATTTATCTTACATTTGACGTAAAAATACTCATCTATCTTGGATAGAAGTCGAGATATTTGGTATTAAAGAAGGTGAGGGTCGCCTGGTATCAGAGACAAAATTAGCGAGAAATGGCCATCAAAGTTAAGCGACTTACAAAGCTGTAGTGTCTTTGAAAGCTACAAATTTACATTTTTGTACCGCTTATCAACGTTTTTTTAAAAAGATTAAATGTACACAGAAATGCTTTTTTAAAATGGACATAAAAGATATTGAGGCCCCCCAAAAAAGAAGAAAAATTGATAAAAATTGCCAAAGGAACAGAAAACGTCATGTTTTTTTAATTTCAATATTTTGACAAGTCGCTGAATTCACCACACTGCCTGACAAAGTATCCTTTAGACAATATCACAGACGTGAATGAACATTTTGAGAGGCCAGTTGATTTCACAAAGCGCAGCCTAGATGTCACAATCACTGTCTTCACCAGCACAAGCCTCAAACACAAACACTTTTTCTGTCGTCTCCGCCATTATCGTCTTCACCATTCTCCTCTTCAACTACCATTAACCCTGAACCACCTCCAAAACCTCCTTTTCCTCCTCCTCCTCCTCATCATCAACTTTATATACAGAGAATACAAAAGGTTGAGACTTGGTCGATTTAGGATTTCCAAAAAAAATATAATAATAATACGTTCAACGTTTCGCTGTATGGCTTCATGCTGTACATGAAGATAAAATCATCATCATCATCATCATCATCATCATCATCATCATCATCATCATCATCATTAACCATAACCGACGTCACATGACAGTTGTAGAAGAAGCCCTGTATGTGTGTGTTTTCTGTCCCCAGGCTGGAGTGTGGGAGTGGACGTAGGCTACGGGTCTCACTCCGGGGGTCGTGTGGGGGTCAGTGTCGGCTTCTCCTTCTGATCTATTCAACAACACACTCACAGTTGATCTACTCAACGCACTGATCCACTCAACAACACACTGATCTACTCAACAACACACTGACAACACACTCACAGCTCATCCACTCAACACACTGATCCACTCAACAACACACTGATCTACACAACACACTGACAACACACCCACAGCTCATCCGCTCAACTCACTCACAGCTCATCAAACCTGTCATGATGTTTTTGACACAAATATACGCAATGAAATCTGAGTGGAGGAAAAGAACCATGTACTCTTCATGAATAAAAACATCTTTTTTAAAATAAAACTTTTCGTGTAATTGTCTTTAGAAAAGCAATGTTTACTACGGACAAGTTTATACTTTGTTGTTGTTGTTGTTATTGTTGTTGTTGTTGCTGCTGTTGCTGTGACTGCTGATGTTGTTGCTGGAAAGGCTTGCTTTTTGCTTTGACTTTGTTGTCGATGAATAGGCTAGAAGACTTTGGCTATACACAGTTTTACAGATTGTCACGAACATAAAATGTAGGGCATTTTTATGGCTAAACCTTTCCTAATGACTTTGAAACGTAGGACAGGCGTCTGTGGTGTAGTGGTTAGGCGGCTCGCGTCGCACGCAGGAGACCCAAGTTTGATTCTAGAGTAGGGAGCATTTTTATCAAGAATCTAGGTCTTTCTTCAGGGATGTTCTATCCCTCTCTACCCGGGTTGGCCCTGACAGGCAAGGTCTAAGCCCGCTTCCGAAATTGATCTAAATTGTGTGGATGGGGGCGTAAAACACCTATTAACATAAAACAGTTCAGGGAGCCCGTGTGTCGTCTGAAAAAAAGACTTCATCTGATATAGTAACGACCGACGTCCACGGAGTAGCAAGAGGGCGAAAATGATGAAATGGTATGAGTATCAACACTATTAGGTTATTTAAGAGGCAGGACCTCCTAATTTAACGTCCGTCTCCGATAGGACCGAGCCAAGTGAGAAGTTTGTGTAAAGTGCCTTTCCCAAGGACACAACATCGGACTGAGCTGAGGCTCGAACCCCGAACTCGCAATCTCATGATTACGAGTCCGGTAGCCTAATCACTAGGCTACCGACGCCACGTAGCAAGAGGGCCCCAATAAATCTGAGAGTGAAAAGGTAACTGTATTCTAATCTCTTCGCTCATATTTTGTGAACGTGTTTGGAAGGTCAAAGGAGGCGCAACATTTCCCGGGAAGAATAAAAGCAGGAGTCGAGTTCATTAGCGGCGTGAGGCGCCGGGTCTGAAGTTGGGTAACCACTCGTTCGACCAGTCGGATCTGTTTTATTTGATTAAGACAGACGATCAAAGAGTTTCGTGTATACTTAACGTTGGGGTATTCAGCTGTAACCTCTGATGAGTTTTTAACGCGACGTGGTTTCCATAGCAACTGGATGAGGTTATGCGAGCACCAATAAATGACCACCACTTCTGGCAAAGTCTATGTTCTGTGGCCCTAGTCCAACTTAACTTTGTTGAAAGGAATAATTAACTTTTTCTATGTGAAAGTTGGATATAATACTGAGAATATATATATATATATATATGTGTGTCTTTGTGAGGCAGCGTGGTGGAATCAGGCTCTCGT